TGTCAGCTTATCTTGCTGCATTGCTCTGTTTCAGGGTGTCGTCATGCTTGTCATTAAACTACCGAAACTGACATTGAGGAGTGTGTTTCTTCATGACTACACCATGAATGAGTCTCGATGCAAGCTTCAAAAAAAGCGTTATGAGTAATTTGCTTTTAAATTGCGTTTTAAACCGACGTTTTTAATTGTGTTTTAAGCAATATGTGTTATGTGTTTTACAGAGTTTAATGTACACAACCGGCCCAGCTACCCGGGATATTAAGTGACCATTTCCCCGGCAGGATTAAGCTGAGTTGGAAATCTACTCTGTGGAAGTATGCCTTGTTTTTAACTCTTTCATTTTATATTGAGTTGGTGAATGAGGCTGGCAACTAACATGTTATGTTGCTTCCTTTTCAAAAGGACCAGGCCAGCCACTGTCCTATAGTGTTTTTTTGTATTTTCTTATTCATTTTCTTCATGTGGAGTTTATGGCAATATAATCATTTTATTGTTTGTGTTTTAGGTTGCGTTTCTCTGCGGCGTTGGCCTGGTCCCGGGTGGAACGCTGCCTGCCTTCAGTGTAGGTGTTACACTTTCTTTTCTGTATGCTAAATATCTCACTGTTATTATTTTTATAGCGATTGTGGTTTGAATATTGCATGCTTTCGTTGTTTTGGTGTGTGGCTTTACTTGTTTTTGTCCCTCACGATTAGCAGGCACTGCAGCCCGGTGTCGGTACCATATGTGTTCGTGGTCCGTCTCTTACCAATGACGTCACTGACGTCACGCATTGTGATTTTGCGATTTCCCCGCAGGCTAGGCATTCAAGACTATTCTAATTAGCTTTGGCTTGATGTGGAGATGTGATTTGATGTGTCGTTTGTCCCCCAACTCCTCTCCAAAGTTGAGATATGTAATAAAATACTCAGGGGAGTTTCCTGAATTTTCATGCCCAAAGCCAAGCGCTAGGTCCTGGCATAGCCGTGGGAACATGTTTCAAATGGGGGGTGCTGTGGGGATGACACCAGGGCCGGTTTTGACCAATTTGCTGCCCTAAGCAAGATTTTAGCTGGCAAAGAAAAACCTCTACAAAAGACCCTACACTACAAACAGAGAAACTTATTGACATGGTGGACAGCTTATATAAAAAGGCTTCAAATGTATTTAGTATTGCATGAACATGTTTTAATTGGGGGGTTGACTTCACATCCTCTAGGGGGGTCCGGGGGTGCCCCCCCGGGAAGATTTGTTTTAACATTTTAAAGTAAAATGCTTCAATCTGGTGCACTTTGAGCGCCCAATTACTAGAGACTGATCTAGGGGGGTACAACTCTAAAACACCCATATGAAAAAGATCGGTTTGCATTTTAATAATCAAATAATTATGTGAACATAACCGATAACCTACCATAGCCAATAACAAATAAATGTAGGCTAACTTATTTTATTTTTGTGGTTCATTTATATCTTATCATCAGTTAACATTTATTTATTTATGCATATTTTTAAATCTCTCCAGTTTTAAACGATATTTTTGGTTTACTGTCTTATAGTATACATTGGAATGATTTCAAACCTGTTTTTATTTATCCTAATAATTATAAAGGAGTGCCTTGGAAATATGTTTTTACATAAATTGTGATCAAAACGTTTGAGACCCACTGAGATAATTTAGACTAAAGTGAACTATCTAAACACTCAGAGTCCTTTGCCTCACTGAGCCTCTCAGTCTGACAGGACAGAACTCTCCCTCCACATTATTGTAGAAAGAGCTTATTATATCCGTTAGCAGAAGCTAACAACATTCCCCGCCGGTACAGGTGCACCCCCTCTCTCTATCTATCTCTCTCTCACGCTGGCTGTGAGCTGCGGGCGCCTGATAAGCCAACATCCCCCACTTTCATCACTTAAAGCGCCCATGGTACGGGGCAAATGGAAAATGTAACCGGGGTGAAAAGGGTGTTATCTTTACTTAATTATGAATTTTGTTACGTCAAGGCTGAAAATTCATTTTTTTTAAATTTATTATATTTCTATTTAATCTTGTGGAAGTGCAGATCCCCTGTCCTCCACCAGGGGGTGTTGCAGCACCCTCAGCACCACTACTTCCCACGGCCCTGGCAGGGCTCGCTGCTGAAGCCTGGTTTTAACCTGTTCGTTAATAAACTACTGGGTTTCATAATGAATTTGAAGAAAAGCTGTCCTCTTCCCTCTCAGACAATCGTTTATCTGATAGTGGAATTAAACTCAGCCAGCAGAGCGCGGCTCTCGCGGCAGTGAGTGGAGAAACTGACAGCTCTCCTCTGGCGTGTCACAAACCCGCACAGCCCTCTCCGTGACGCAGCTGCTCGGCGTTGGCATCAGCTGGTCACGTGGGGATCCCCCTGGATCTCCCCCACAGGTGGAGTCTCCAGAGGTGGTTCATTCGCTGTAGAAGCCTGCTGTTTTAACCTATTGGTTTATAAACTGCAGAGCTCGCGGCATTCCTCTGTCCCAGATATGCCTCCTACACACGGTCATAATAAATCCACGAGCACCGTTATAACGCCTCGTGTGGACAGCATGCACACACCTCTCATCCCCTGGGCGTGTACGCGCCTCATGATGAGAGCCAGAGTGAAATGCAGCGTGTGGAGATTCCCTCGCAGCCCTTTCGCCTCAAGAAGCGCGAGCAGCGAGGGCGAGGGCGTGGCTCGTCACCATGACGACCATTACAGCATATCTCAGAGAAGCCTCTCCCCCCGCAGTTCCATGGGATACAAGAAACACTCCTGTCATCCCAGGAACAGTGTCTTGCGCTCCATTCAGCGCTGCAGGAACTCCTGTTGAAAAAGGCATTTTTTCCAAAAGGGAGGAAAATCAGGGTTTTTTACTCCCGTTATTTTCTAAATCCCGGGAAAAAAACGGGGGAGTGAGACCCATCCTTGATCTGTCAGTGTTCCAAAAAGAGAGAAACACATGCTGACGATCAAACAGATGCTGGAATGTGTACGCCAGGATGTGGTTTTATCTGGACGACCTGCTATTGCTGGCTCGCTCCAGGGAGGAAGTCGCTTTACAGACGTTACATCTTGTATCGCATCTGTCAAAGCCTGGGTTTTCATAATGAATTTGAAGAAGAGCTGTCCTCTTCCCTCTCAGATATCCATTTATCTGGGAGTGGAATTAAACTCAGCCAGCAGAGCGCGGCTCTCGTGGCAGCGAGTGGCTCACATCCCGCAGGCCCTCTCCGTGATACAGCTGCTCAGCATGACGTCAGCTGGTCACGTGGGGATCCCCCTGGGACTCCCCCACAGGAGGAGTCTCCAGAGGTGGTTCATTCGCCCGCGCATCGACCCCGTGCGTCAGAGGTAAATGTGCTGGAGCTGTTCTCCGGTTGGGAAGTATTCCAGCACTTCGCCCTGTTGCTGTACAATCAGACATGTGTTGATTTGCACAGACAACAGGCCACGGCAGCCTACCTCAATCGCCAGGGAGGAGTACGATCTGCGCAGCTTCTGAACGCAGCCAGGCGGCTGCTGTTCTTGGCGCGCACACACGTTGCTCTCCATCAGAGCAATGTATATTCCCGGCGAATTTAACAGAGGGGCTCGCAGAACGCAGCAGCCGTTTTATGCGAGGAGTCGAGACTCAGACCTGTGTCACGCACACTGGCGGGTCAGTGGGATTTGGCTTTGGTGTACTAAAGCAAAGCCCCATTTGAACCTGATCAGGTTCCCCTTAAACTGTTATCAGCCAAAGTAGTACTACTTTTGGCTCTAATAGCAGCGAGAAGGGTGAGTGATTTGTCTGCTCTCTCTGTGGCTCCGTCATGTCTCCGGATCCAAGGAGATGGCAGTTTACGCCCTAACCCGGCTTCATGCCTAAGGTCATCACACCTCTTTTAGGTCAAGAGTGATCACCCTGGCTGGCTTATTCCCCCCTCCTCACAGGTCGGAGGAAGAAGCCACGTCTCATCTCCTCTGTCCTGTGCGTGCGCTGTCCTGCTATGTGGCGCGCACGGGCCCGGCTGCCTTGCACCGTTCTCAGCGCCTGTTTTTGCATTATAGAGAGCGCTCGTTAGGGCAGCCTCTATCTGCACAACGGCTGTCACACTGGCTGTGTGAGGCTGTGTCACAGGCATATGTCTCCTCTGGGGTGGATCCCCCGGAGAACATCAAAGCGCACTCCACCAGAGGAATTTCCTCCTCCACGGCTTTGCACGGAGGAATGTCAGTGGAAGACATTTGCACTGCTGCATCTTGGTCTTCCCCCTGTTCATTTATTCAATTTTATTTGAGAGATGTCTCTCATTGCTCTCTGACACACCCTGTACTGAGTGTCCTGTCAGAGTGAGTGACGTCAGGGACCCAGCTGTGCGCCTCTCGCCTGCTTCGGCACGCGGAGAGCGGCCCCTTTTTCCCTCTTATGAGAGGGATGTTCTTTTTCCTCTGACACATTTTGTACGGAATGCGTTGTCAGAGTGAGTGACGTCAGGGATCCAGCTGTGCGCTCTCCTGCCTGTCTGCACGCAGGGAGCTGCTGTTCCCCCTCTTTTGTCGCTGGACAAAGTGTGACCTTCGTCTCTACTTCTCACAGCGGCGGGTATGTATTGTTCCCAGCCTTCGTCCCCCTTGGAGAATATTCATGTTATGCTATTTTCCAGGGACTGTGATGCGCCATTACGCATGGCGCAATAGGCATGGGCTATTATCTGAGCAGGTGTGTCTGTGCTTCTAGTACTGGGCCCCACTGGCTCCACGAATAGCTGAAGAAAATGTATTTTGTATGGGAGCAGATTGTCGGGTCTCCTTCCTATTTATACCGGAAGGGAGCCCGAGGGTGGGGCCCACCTTGCGGGTGGGCGTGGACTAGAAGTGTTTCAGTGCTGCGCGGGTGCGCAGGGGGATTACCCAATAGCGATAACCTTAGAGGGCTACGCCTATACTTATAGAAGCTGGAGTTACAGTAGGTAACCTCAGTTTGTTGGAGTGAGAAGTTGTTGTTGTTGTTGTTGTTTATTGTCAGGTTTGCTTAAAATGCACACACTGCAGGGCTTTTGAAACAGTGTTACCTTAATGACAGAGGCTGAAAAAACCTTTATTAAAAAACACATGTTTCTATATAAACTAATATGTCTCCCTCTCCCCTCGCACGGTGTAGGGATCGTCCCCTCCCTCACCTACCAGGTGTTCTTCATGAAGAAGTTGTGGACCATCACAATTCCAGGGAAGGATTCCTTCGCAGACTCCATCTTTCACTACTACCAGGTCTGAGGAAGAGGAAGAGGAAACACGTTGCTGCTTTCCCCCAGCAACGCTCTTACTCACTTATCTTTAGTTTTTACATCACACACAAATTTATTTTGATTTATACCGCTACTTATAATCTTTTGACAATTTGCCCAAAAAATTTGATTTATAGACAAGAACTACATTTTTGTTGTAAATAATGATAATCATTCTCTTGTTGTATCTAGGAGCTGCCTAAGTACCTGCGTGGTTACCATAAGTGTTCACGAGAAGAGGTTTTCCAACTCGCAGCACTCATCTACCGAGTGAAGTTTGAAGATGACAAATCCCACTTTCCTACAATTCCCAAGATGCTTCGGGAGCTGGTTCCCCAGGATCTCATTCGTCAGATGTCACCTGATGACTGGAAAAGGGTAAACTTGCAAAAGCTCTAATGACAAAGCTATATAGTTTAATACCTTTAATTAAACTAAGTGTCTGTAAGGCAGTATGCCCAACTTGTAGGAAGTAGAATGACATGTGTTAAGAACATGTAAATACAAATATATTTTGTCAAACTAGATTACGTGACACATAGTTTGTTTTTAACAGAATAAAGCCATTTGCTATATTTGTACCAACTATAAATGAAATGGACGTTTTGCATTAAGTCATTAAAGATGAAACTATTTTTTGTAATTAATACAGTGTGTGTGTGTGTGTGTGTGTGTGTGTGTGTGTGTGTGTGTGTGTGTGTGTGTGTGTGTGTGTGTGTGTGTGTGTGTGTGTGTGTGTGTGTTATACAGTCGGTGGTTGCATACTTCAACAAGCAGGCGGGTAAATCCAGAGAAGAAGCCAAACTGATGTTCCTGAAAATCATCTTCAAGTGGCCCACCTTTGGCTCCGCCTTCTTTGAGGTCAAGGTAAACACAATTGTGCGTGTCACTTCCTGTCTGTCTCGTAGGCCAGACCAATTCCCCCCCCCTTCCTCTGCCTGTATTCACACCTAGCTGAATCAAAAAACTGTTTATTGCTCAGCTTTTCACAAACAAGAATTAGCCTTTATGTTAATAAAACATGGAGTATCAATTTCAAATGACCTTTAGTCTGACAGCCTTGGTTACCTTTCAAAATAAACATTTTGCACACAAATCATATGAAGGGTTTTTATGTACTATGATTATTTGATAGACCAAACGGCTCGATAGAATAGATATTAACATTTCCAACAACATTGATGTGTCTACAGCAAACCACAGAGCCCAACTTCCCAGAGATCCTGCTGATCGCCATCAACAAGCACGGAGTCAGCCTCATCGACCCCAAGACCAAGGTGTGTGTTTGTGTAGGAACCAGTGCGCCCCCACCTGTCTGATCATATCATAATAATACATTACATTTATATAGCGCTTTTCCTGGTGCTCAAAGCGCTTTGCAAGCAAGTAGGGTTGCAAAATTCCGGGAATTTTCAAAGATGGAAACTTTCCACAGGAATTAACGGGAATTTATGGGAATAAACTGGGAATTTTCTAAATTCAAGGTTGTTGGCTCTTCATAGGGAACTTAAATATAGTTGGGGAAAGTATATTTTAGCATAAACTTGACTAAAACAAACAGATGCCATTCAAGTACACTTGAATATCCATGACATAGCAAACTGCTTACTGCATGGCTATTGAGACCACACAAAGGTTCGCAACAGTCTCACAAATGTGAGAGTGGAAAAACTGGTTGGCATTCGGGCAAACCTAAGGCTCTCTGAGCCTGACAGAGCCATCCTCAATAAGGCTGGACAGTGACACTGAAGAGGAAGACTCAGAGTTGGATGTTGATGAGGCCCAGGAAGAGTCCATTGACTGAAAAGGTTTAGCAAAAATGCAGAGGATTGCTTGAAGGAAGATGTGCATGTTTAATGGGACTTTTTGGAGGGAGAAGGGCTCTTTTCATTTAACATTTTGAATGGGACTTTGTGGGGATCTTTGGATGGGGGGTGCATTTTTGTTCATTTTTTAATGAGTGGGGTTGGGGTGGATGAGTAACATTTAACTCAACATTCCTGTTTTCGTTCTTCAATGAAACAAATAATTGTTCAATAAAATAATTAAAACTTGTTCTGTTCTACTTTAAAAAAAATCAGTTGAAATGTCATGTTTTTTTGTTTAATTTTGCATCGAATATTTCCAAAATTTCCCAGCTTGGAAACTTTCCGGAAACTTTCCGGAAATTTAGCGGAAACTTTCTGCCCCTTTGCAACCCTACAAGCAAGTAAAACAAAATAACAACAAAAGTAAGGTGGGATAGGCGAGGGGTTAGTGGATTAGGAGTTGAAGGCAAGAGTGAAAGGGTGAGTTTTGAGGGATTGTTTGAATTATGTGAGAGTGTTGGCGGATCTGACGTGGCTGGGGAGGGAGTTCCAGAGTGAGGGGGAGGCTGCTGCGAAGGATATAGGACTTATTGTAATGCGCTGTTTGGATTT